TGGGACCCCCCCCATAGGCGTGGTCCCTGCTCCTTCAGTGCACCATCCACTCCACTCCCTCCTGATCACGTGCTGGACACGGCCTTCCCTCCTCGCCCTGGGGCTCATTGCTGTGGAAATCCGCCCACTGGGCAGCTGCGTGGAAGAGCCTCCCAGTGGCCAAGTGATACCTCTCCCCGGGAGCTGGGCGTTTAACCGGTTAACCGATGCGCATCCGCTTGCCGGTTTCTGTTACCGTTAAACTCTTCTTCCCTGGAAGTGCATGCTGGCTGCTGGACACGGCCTTCCCTCCTCGCCCTGGGGCTCATTGCTGTGGAAATCCGCCCACTGGGCAGCTGCGTGGAAGAGCCTCCCAGTGGCCAAGTGATACCTCTCCCCGGGAGCTGGGCGTTTAACCGGTTAACCGATGCGCATCCGCTTGCCGGTTTCTGTTACCGTTAAACTCTTCTTCCCTGGAAGTGCATGCTGGCTGCCATCCCCATGCTGTGGACCCTTAAATGTAAGCCTTATCCTGCAGCAGGCAGCTCCTCAGGAGCTGTGGGCTCCCCCCCCAAATCCTTTCCTCCTTAGTCCTGTCCAACCAAAATGATTAACCGTGTAACCACTAGGGTTTTTAATGGTTACACCGTTTCTGCTTTAAAACTTTGTTTACATTTCTAGCTGGGATGTCTCTCTCCAGCCAAAGTTACTGTACGGTTGGTGTAATACTTTAGGTAGTTCCTGCCCTGCTCCCTATCTGTGTACCTTCTCTGTCACACACCCCTCCCCAAGATCCCTTCTCATGCTGGGACGCAGTAGCCTCCATGCGGAACTTTCCTAATCTAGGGACCTATCCTAGGTTGCAACATTAACACCTTAGAAGCTGTAATTATGTGATGTACTGTGAAAGGCAAGTTCCTGAGCTCCAGAATTGTTCTGGTAGAAGGGTGAGGCTAAGATCTCAGAAGTTTCAAGGATCTGCTCTTCTGTTCTTTGTATTCTGCCCCTTTTACTCATGTCCTTTATCCTCATGGTCTGCACCCCCTAGTACTGAATTATTTATGTTGTGCTTCTGCTCTCTTTAACTGACTCTGAAATGTATTCCTGTTACCTTTTCTTTGGTCCTAACTAGTTGTATCATACAATAGGACGTGCTGAGGCACCAAATCCTTTCCATGGTTTGAAAATTGTATGTCTGTAACCTACTGAGTTAAGTTGCAGACTAGTGCTAAAGAAAGAACTGATAAACCCAGGGTCCCTTGGCAATTCTAATGTATGATAGCTTACAAACGTGTGCTGTCAGCAAGCAGGAAATTCTTTTGCTGGTCCAAAAAAGAACTATCAGGTACTTATGTCTCATAGTTGAAGTGAAAGAACTAAGATCATAATTAGCTTGATGTGATATTAAGGTATGGTGCCTCCTATCCTGACAAGGCTAAAAGCTCTTTGGCAAGACCAATTCAGGTATTTCCAGGCCATTACACTTTCCCTAATGCTGTTACTGGGCCAAGGACCAAAAACATCCGGTGGCTTCCTAGTTTATTTTCTCCCCCTTTGATCAAACTTAAAATAGTGAACTAAAGCAAACTCACTGCTGTCTGTACCTCTCTAAATGGGCTGTCTGCTCAGTTCACAGATTGATGACCTACATCTTTGTCTATGAAGATCTGACATCCCTGGTATGCAGTGCTGTTATCATCTGGTACTTTGCTGGCAGCTTTGAGAAGAATGTAGGCACAGTAAAGCATTTCTTTTTCACCTGTGCATTTGCCATTTCTTCAGCCTTTTTGTATCTGTTGTTGGAGGCTGTCGTCTCTGGAGTATCAGAGGTGGAAGATGCCAAAGGATTTATACCAGTTGCTTTTGCCATGTTGGCAGTATCCACTACACGTTCACGGATGAAAAGGGCACCACTCTTTGGGATTAATATTCCCATGGTGCTGGTGCCATGGTTAGTGCTCTGCTTGGCATGGTTTATTCCCCACTCCTCTTTCCTGAGTAATGTATGTGGCCTCATCATTGGGAAAGTCTGTATCCTTTCCAAGAGAGATCTGTTCACAACTGCAAAGAGCATGTGTGGAGCCTGGCTTGGGATGGGGAAGGAGTGGGCGGGGAGGGGAAATGCTAAATTCTGATTGCTTAAACCCACTGGCTTTTTGCTGTGCCGGTTCATGGCTTTCTGTATGCTGCTTAATGACTCTTACCTGATTTGCTTTGGCTCAGAGGGACCCCATCCTGCATTCAGTGTGTACAAGGAACGCAGGACTCACTGGGTCTGAAAACTGAGGATGGGATAACAGATTTTTTTCTAGCCTTTCTGCCTTGTGCATTCTATAAAGAAGAATCTTGATTTGGTTTTAAAATGCAGCATTTAGTTGCATGTGGAAAGTTAGTTCTGTTCTGCCCTTGCATTGGAAACTTTCCACAGCTTTCCTTAACATGCTGCTAAACTCAGATGGTCTTGGTTACTGCTTCTGTTTGGATCTCCCAGAGTCATTGGTATCTAGACTGGATCAGAAGTTCCCGTTCAGCTTGCTGAAGAGACTACCAGGGCTGAAGTATATTCCAGGGTCTTTAGCAGAGAGAAGAGCCTCCCAGAATAGGAAGTAAGTGCATGAACACCAATAACACTCCTCTTAATCACAGAAGGAGGGTGCCCTTACAATAAGTGGTGGTGCTAAATGACAGCCCATTGTAAAGCATTTTTGCTCCCAACATTCCAATCTCAGTGGACAGAGGAGGATTTTTTTTAAATAGGTTAAACTTCTATGAAGTTGAATAACTGTAATGAGTTCTCCAACACAGAAGTATTTCCCCATGTTTACAGGTATACAAATATACCTGGAATAGTAATACCTCGGACTGTGTTGCTAGATACCCTAAACTGAAACATTCCCCGGCAACACTTGCAAGGGAGACAAAGGGGTTGTCTACGTGAAAAGTTGACATGTGACAAGCTAGGGCAGAGGTGAGCAAGATACAACCAGTGACCTACCGCATCGGGATCCTTTGGTAAGCTCCCTGCTTAACAGTCCTTCTGAGTATTTGGCACTTGTAGGCTTTGTGACTCCCCATTCTTAGGTGAGTTGCACGTGCAGGTTGATCAGTACTCAGCCTGGAGCCTTTGTCTGTTGTGCAGAACATCTCCCTGTATGCCTCCCCTCCTGAGTCACGCCTCCTGTTAACAGCTGCTGTTTCTGGATCCTCTCACTCTTAAATTAAGTATGTTCCCCAGATCAGAACTGCCTATTCTTTTCTTTAGACCTCCAAGATGTGTTGTAAAATCCCATTTAATTAGTTAACCAGTTAAATGTTATGTTTAACTATTTGACCAATTCAGTGGGAGTGAGTGGGGGAGCTGCTCCAGCTCACCTGGGCTGGAGCCCTCCCCCACCCCATTGGTGGGAGCTGCTCTGGCTGGTGCACTGGGCCAAGCCTGCGGGCAGGGCTTCCTCTGGTGCCACCGGTTAACCGTAACCGGTAAGCATCACCCGATAGAGGGTGATGTTTATTGGATAACCATCTGCAACCCTAGTAACTAGCACTCAGCAGGTGAATAGCTAAAGGAGACGCACCTTAAATTGAGACACCAGGATGCATACAGAATTTTTACCTTCCACTGGCTCCATGCATGCTTGTTCCACAAGACTTTGTCTGTGTATTTTCTCCATTGAGGGACATGGAAATGCATTTATTGGGTGGCTGACCAACCTGCTTTTATTCAGCTGCTAAGAAGTGGCAGCTGATCTCAGCTTGTCATGAGCGGGTTGACCCTAATCCCTGTTTGGACTGAGTAGTGTAGTCAGGGGAGCGCTTGTAGAAGTTTGGAAATGCTAGATGTGAACATGCTGTCCTTTTTCTCTCCCCTCTTCTCTTCAGGTTTAATCCAGTGCCAGGGTCATACCCCACCCAGAGCTACTATCACTCACCTCCAGCCCTTCCTGTGGTTCAGCTGCAGCACCTCAGTGCCCAGAGCCTGGGATCCTGGCACAGCTACACACCAGGGCACATCCACGGCTCCCCCCCTTACCAAACCAGCCCTGCTTTTGGAAAATTCAATGTGCAGGGCCAGTGTGGTGCCTCCCCTGGACACTGCTGCCAACCAGCTGATCCCCATTTGACCCAAGGTGCGTTTCTGCCTGATTCTCGGGTACTCACAGGGATGGAGAATTTGGAGGCCAAGTTTCAGCATGCTTCAGGTTCCCTGGCAGCAAAAATGCCAACGGAGCTTTCAGGAGTCCAGATAGACTGATCATCCAAAGAGGAGCAGAACCCTTCTCCCCTCACAGGCCATTGTGTGAGCAGCTTGCAGTGGAGAGCTGCTGAGAAAGAAGACTGCCTCAAAAGGATTCATCCGATTTTAACTGAGGGTGTTTTGGATGACTGGAATCCACTTGCACGGTCGATGGCAGCCTGTGGTGCAGACTGCTCATAGACATTTTTTCCAATGCTCAGGGGCTTTTTTTATTTATACTCCTTTTTAATTTTGATACTTTTTTATCTTGGCTGGGGGCTGTGACCATTACCTGGTTGTCCCTTATTCTTATGTGGATTTGTGGCTACAGACTTATCTCTTTATACTACAGCTAGAGTCATGGTTACAACAGTCTTGACTCAGTGTAGTGTAGATGGGCATTCATGGTCAAAACACTGAACTAGTTGGGTTTTAACCTGACAACAGAGACTGAAGTTTACAGTTGCAGTATGACCAGGACCCAAATGCTGGGTTTGTGGGGGCCTGCTTGTTCTGTAACTGGCACAAGTTAAAGAGCAGTGTTTAAATGGCGATGGGGAAGAGACAGATGTGTTTTTACTGTTTTGCTTGGACTGGACTGATAAGGGCATTGTTGCAAGCCGTGTGTTGGGACAGCAAGCTGTGTGTTGGGATGGGACAGTTTGTGGTTCTTTGTGGTGCCATGGGAAAGTTCTGGGGCCTGTGTTATAGAGGAGCACAGATAAGATGATCAGTGGTCCTTTTTGTCTTCGGAATCCAAGTTGAGATGGCGGGGGCGGGATGAAGTGAACAATATGGTGGCCATGCAGAATAGCAGCTGCAACATCTGCTAGAGTCTCTAGTTAGCATCAGCCACATGGGCTCCTTTTCCCAGTCATGTTCCCATCACATGGTCTCCAGAGCAGGCACCTACAGTAATTTTTCATACTGCCCACAATGCCAGCTTTGATTCATGAGGCTGTCCTAAATATTTCCAGAAAAGGTGGGTGAATCTTATTTAAGGGATTTAGGATTTTCAAAGGGAGCATGGGGGTAGTCTTAAACTGGTGTATAAAATAATACTTTCTAAGCCTTCAGAGGGGCTTTTAAAAATGGTCTGAATCAAATGGAATTTAACTCTAACCATTCTGAGCAGTATTTGATGAGCTTTTACAATGGTCTTTGGTGCCAGAGTTAGCATCAGAGACAGCTAACATAAGTGGAGTTTGTGGACAGTATCTGCTAGTTACATCAGGGTGCTGGGACTCAAAAGATCTGTGTTCTGGTTCCTAGCTCTGTCACTTCTCACTGTATGACTCTGGATGAAAAGTCCATTCATCTGTTTGTTTCCCCATCTCTAAAATAGGGATAATTTCTGGCTCCTAGCGGGAGATGAAATTTGCTTCATGTTTTAAGATGTGTTGAAGTACTTAGAAAAGGTGTTTTATGAAATGCAAACTGTCATCATAATTCAGAGTGCCTGACATTGCTTACGCCTTACTCCTTAAAAAATGAGGTTTAAAAGTTATTTTGAAAGACGGGTTTTTTTCGAAATAGGGTATTTCAAAAAAGCGCCCGGATGCCATTATGCAAATGAAGCGTGAGATTTGTAAATTCGTGCTTCATTTGCAATTTCGCTCAGCTGCATTTGCATTCCTCTCTCGAAAGAGGAGTGCAGCGTAGACATACCCTAAGCCACAGGACTACTCATCGTCTTAAGGTTATTGCCATTGAGAGAGGATTGAGGTACAAAATTGGAACCTTGTGCCACTCCTTGCTAATCCAGCCCTGCCCCACATGTGAAAATGGATGTTCCTGGACAGGTGAAGATGATATGACTGATCTCACAATATGTGTGCGCAGGGGCAGCCCTAGGCTAGCTGCCAGCAACTGGTGCCCTAGACGAACCGTGCAATCGGCCCCCCCACTCAGTGTGCAAGCCCCTCAATGATATTGCTCCACCATTTGTCGCCCCCATTTAACTTGGCGCCCTAGGCGACCACCTAGTTCGCCTATGTGGACGGGCTGTCCCTGTGTGTGCGCTACTGCTGGAGATGGCTGGTGTTCCAATCTCCTTGGTGAACACTACAATTCCTTGTGTACTACCAAATTTTAAAAGGCAACTCATGTGAGGGCGTGCCCATTCCCTCGGAGCAGGGAGCATTCGTACTGTGACTGTATTGAATGCAGAAGGACAAAGGAAGTGCTTTTCTAGAGTGTTTGTTCTGATTTTGTTTAACAGTCTGGAAGAAACATTAAAGATAGGGAAAAAGTTAGGAGGGTGAGTGGTTAATCAGTCAAACACATGCTTATTTCTACCCTACTGGGGGTCACTGATAAGTGTGAGGCCTTTTGCCAATGAGCTCTACAAAAACTATTTCCAAATCATGGAAGAACACTGCTGAGAGTGTAGCATGGAGATGAGCCTTGGTACTGGCTGTTTTCTGTGCCTTTCCCTGTGAAATGTTACCTTTTAATATAATTTGAAAAGCAAATGACTCCGTAGCCTTATCTGATTTCCTGGCCAGAATCAAAACCTGGTGTCTTGTGTAGTGTCTGGGGATCCCATTCATTCCTGGTGTAGCTCCACTGCTAACCAGGTGAAGGCTGGCAAGCTACAACATGCTTGTTGGTGAAGCCACACACCACTGGTGAAAGTTGTTACTGCAGAGATCATAGGGAACATAAACCCTCCTAGATGTTGCTCTATGGTTTGGCAACATCCGGCAGGACCATGCCCGGCTCCACTGCCAGTCCCTGGATCAGAGCCCTGGGAGCCCAATGGCTGGGACTGATGGCAGAGCTGGAGGGCTGAGGCTGGTGGCAGAACTGGTCGGCAGGGAGCCCGGTGGTGAACCCGGGCTGGCGGCTGGGGCTGACAGTGGAGGTGGGTGGGGGCACGGAGCCGGGGAGCCCAGCTGGGTTTGCTGATGGACCTTGGGAGAGCCCCTAGTCTGTTAGCAGAGGGGCTGGAATTCACCTCCTTTGGTTTGGCAAACTCCTGCATTTGGGATTGGTGAGGGACTAGGGAGATCCAACCTGTATCTATCCACCTACGTGGTGTGTGGCTAAATGCACTAAAGCAATTTGAGATCAGGGCTATAGGAGGCTACTGCAGCAGGGTAAAATGTTTCTATATAAAATTGGTTCATGTGTCCAGTGATTGCCCCTCTCTCTCCTCAGTTCTTCCTCAGTGTTTTTTATTGATTTTCCTTTGACTCTAGTATTGATGAAGCCTTGCTGGAAATCCTCTGCTGTTCCATCACGCAGTAATGAGTATGTTAATGCTGCTGGCAGCATGTTAACAGAGGAAGCTTAATGTCACAATGTTACCCTTGTGCCTGCTGATTTTTCTGGCCTCATTTTTATAGTCAGGCAGTAAAATGTTCACTCAGGGAATCTTTACCAGATAACGTGCAAAGTGTAAGCTCTGTACATGCCTAGACCACTCAGTGTGCAAGGCAGTTGACTTCAGCAGCACAGACACAATACATGCGCTACAAAAACAACTCTGTTGATGGACAATTGGAATGGTACGTCATGAGCCTAACTCCTTCCTGCTGTGACGCCGCTGGATTCAAAGGAGTTCCTTCGGCAATGAATTTGGTCCCACTGAGCTAAAGCAATCTGACTGATCTACCTCATTTTCAGAGTTGCAAGCCATGAAGGATCAGTTTTAAGATATACGGCACCCAGGTCAGTCTTTTCATGGCAGAAACAAGCACAAACACATAAACTGCATCTTTACTAGATCACTAGACCCTTTCTACCAGTAGCTAGGAAATGAAGTCGTCTTATGAATGGGCCTGCAGGCTCTCTGGTACATGTTGCATTTTCAAAGGAGGACACGGCGTGTGCAATCTCGTCTGAAAATACTCACATACCTATAAAACCCGTGCAGGCAATGTAGCTCCATCGGTTAGCTGAAGAGCAGAGCAGTAGGGACTGGGAAGCCCCATTGTCAAGTGAGAAGGTAGGGTTGCATCCACGGCACAAAAGGTGCGACCCTAGTGAATGCAGTGTAGGGGTGCCAGGCGTGGTTTTTTATCATGGATGGAATGATTCCTTCAATGTAAACCATCTCATTCTTTCCTGGGCACACCAGGACGCCTCCTGCCGCTATCTGTGGAGACAGGGCCAGAAAGATGATTATCACCCCTCAAAACAGGGTAGACAGGAGAGGGAGGCAGTGTAGTGGTCCCTGGGCTGCAGTCCAGTTGCTGTCAGGATCAACAGCAGGCAAGTGGGCCATGACGATGCCAACCATAGTGATGGCGTCCAGGGAGCTAATCACCATCCAAATCTGTTAGGACCAGCCCTTGCTGCCATCATGAGCATCCTGGTAGTACAATCACGGCAGCAAGGGCTGGTCCTATCATGAGCATCCTGGTAGTACAATCACATGGGAGGGCAGAGGATGGTGGCTGACAGGACTTGCAGTGATGGAGGGTAACACCAGAGGCAGAAGACAGTACCTGGGGCACTGGCTGCATGGGCAGAGAATTCTGGGTACATGTTGCTCCGTCGTTGGTCAGGTGAGGACAGCTCTCAGCAGATGCTACAGTCCATTCAAGTGCATGGGGGGCAGCTGCTGGGAAGAAAACCAAGCAAGCTTTGAAGTTATGGCTGACCATTCGCCTAGCTCCAGAGCAGAACCAGCCCTCTTAGGACCTACAGTAGTTTGTAAAACTTAAACTTGTGGTGTCTGATCTCTAGCTAAGCATTTTCATTGATGCTAATCCAAGCAGTTCTCTTTTTCCAGCTGCATTACTGCACCTGCTGGAAAAACACTCTAAGACCGTTCCCTCCCAAATAAAACATCACAGGGCTACCTGCTCAGCGATCGAGCAGAAGAGTTCACACGGGAATCTCGTTAGTGATGGCTGCAAATCCGTGTTTGCCTCAAGCTCCCTGGAGATGATCCCTCTTATAGGAATTTGCAATATCACTAACTTCTATTTTTTTCAAAAACTCGTGTTTCTTACCCTGGCAAATTGTCTCCTATTTTTCCATGATTTGGACAGATCCTGTTTCCTCCCCCTTCAGCATCCCAGTCACTAGGATATATTCAGCTATATAAAATGGGTGACCTGCATTAGCCAAGTCATTGTTTCTACAGAACAGCTTTTCTCTAAATGGCAATGTCACCAGCACTGGAATTAGTCTCCCCATTTGGATTCACTGCCTTCATGGAGGACTTTGATTCAGCTCCTGTAGGTGCTCTGGGGTAAGGGTCAGCATCAGCATGCAGGGCTTTGAGCCCTGCAATCTGTTCAAATCTCAGTGAGACCTCCTGGTGAGATGTTGGTTTGCTGCAAACCTTTGCTAATCCTCACAGGTCTGGAAGAGAGGTGCCTAAATGCCTTTGCAGTTCTGGCCTTTCTTCCTACCTCACTATAAAGGGAAATTCACAATGTTGAAATTCAGTTCAGCTCTTTCTAAACTCCTCATAGCAAAGGGGTAAGGGACAGAGAATAGGGTCACACAAAGGGAAGAGTATAAGGGAGGAGTGAACGAGGAATCTACTGCACTGCAGGCACAAGGAAATGGGTATAAAGGATCATGTGCTGCATAGGGATGTTAATGGGTGATGCTTACCAAGCAATGGTTAACTAGTACCCAGGGAGCAGCCCTGGCTGTGGTTGGCTGAGGTGAAGGGCTGCTGCAGCCCTGCCAGGCCCCTACATGGGGCTGCCACTTCAGCTTGGCCCCCTAACCACTCCCCAGTTAAACTTAATGTTTAACTAGTTAGCTAGTTAAATGGGATTTTACATACCTAGTGCTGAAGTGTATTTTCTCCCCTCACAGCAGAGTTGCTGGTTGCAAGCTGCACTCTACCATTTTTCCTCACAGGGGAGCCAGAGAATTAAAAGAGGAATTACTTTTAAAAAAAAATCTCTCTGAAATCTGTGGTAGCTCAGTGCTTGTGCGTAAATACATAGCCTCTGCTCTTGCTTTCTCTCAAGGGAGTTTTGTCCCTTGGAAGCATTCCTGGCAGATTTTCCACTCTTCCAAAGGGGAAGCCTTCCAGCACAGGTGCCTGGACAATAAATGTAACTTGGACCAACTCCTGTGTGCGTGTCCCCTTTGTCAGCATCCCCTTCGCTGGCTGAGGTCAGCTGGCCTCAGTGTCTCTTGCTGAGCCCCCAAGGTCACTTGAGCCGCACTTCCTCCCCTCGCGTGCAACACTCCTCGGGGCAAACGAGTGGAGCTGGAGCCCAGCCCAAGCGTCTCACCTGCCAGCACTGCACGCTGGGTCAGCAGGCTAGATAACATTTACAGGCATGCCAAGCAGATCAGGGCTGCAGTTGTGCAATTGCTGCTGGAGGCAGGTGATCGGTTGCATCACCAGGGCCCTAACCCCCACATGCCACCTCTGGTACATGCCTGACCCTTGTCTCTCTGGAAGCTGAGCCCCAAAGGCATGTAATGCTTCCCAACTAACAGAAGTGACAGCAGTGCCCCTATCCTCACTGCTCCTTCTGCACCCCCTTTCCTCAGCTGGAGGAGTGACGTCCCAAAGGATTTCCCCTTTATTTCCACCCAGCGTGA